GGTAGGAACACGTGTGTGGAGTTAACAATCAAGTGCAGTGCTTGGGCGGAGGGGAGGGATCTTGCAATACTCCTCATGTATGCAGCTGAAGGGCTCGAAATCTGAGATCCTTCACTGCGAATTTTCAGATGTCTTCGCCCGTGCCTTGGCGTGGTCTGAAGGCGGAACCTCCTGCGGATTTTCATTCCGTGGCGCTGGCAGTGATTCTGGTCATCTTGGGGCTCTGCTATCTTTTGGCCGGGCTTTTGGCCGGGCTTTCGTTCCCAACAAGTCAAACCAGCAAGACAGTCATCCTGCCTTCGGGTGCCAAAGTGAGCATCAATGTCGACCCCCAGTCCAGAAGAGTGGGCGCAAATGGACACACTTGCTAAGGTGGCGGCATGGGCAGGCCTTGCCGGATCCATTGGGGATCTAAGCACTCCTCTGGGCAGCTTCCTGCGACTGCTGGGTTCCGACGGCAAGGACCACCCGCGTGTGCTGGCGGCTTTGGCAGAGGCTGATTACGTCAAGCTGGTCAACACATGGGTACTCAAGATACCGGCTCCTAATCCCAGCGATCCTGCCATCGATCAGGCCCCTACGCCAATGCAGTTGGGGCAAGTTGGGCTCCTTGGGAAGACTTGCAGAACTATGTGCTCTTCTACAGCCGTTGCTCCTGGGCCTGCCGCTTCAAGCAGCAAACGCAGAATCAAACTGTCTGCGGTGATAAATCAGGACGATGACTACGATGTCGACATCCTGGACGAGTCTACCGTGGCCAATGCTTACGCCAAGTACACAAAACGGATCGGGGCCTTTCCCCGTCCGGAAGAGGAGTTGAGCCAGGAACAGCTCACTGGGCTGCACTCTTTGTTCAAGTCAGGCCGGGCACCTTATGTTGACATGGCAGTCTGGGGACCATACCACCATAGGCTGCAGCGCAAACGCCGGCTTAAAGGAGTCCGATTGAACCAGTATGGCGAGATCCAGACACTGGAGCTGACCGGGCCTTCCGATTTTGAGGCTTGGAGGGAATGCTATGCTGTGTTCAAGGTGGGCGCCATTATGTTCGAGGAGATCACGCCAGCCAGATTGGACGCCTACGAGAAGCACATCCGCAACTACCACGAGCGCTATGGGCGTGGCTGCTGGGCCCTGATTTATCAAGCAGATGTCAGAGCCAGGCTAGAGAATAGCGAGAGACTTCGGCGAGTCGGCAAGGACGAGCACGACATGGCGGTGCCCACGACTTTGATACTGGTGCCCCTTGGGAGTGGGTATGGAACGCCTTGATTGAGGACTTACGCTTCTGGCATGCAGAGCTGGAGGAGCCGGCCCTTTTGGTCTTGGCCAAGTCCACCAAGATGGAGAAGATCGTGGGTGACGACGCGCCGGTGGAGTCGCTCAAGCAGGCGGCGCCATTGGACGGTCGAGTGGCTCAGGGCGGTGGCGCCAACAAGCGGAAGCAGCTGGGCCTTCGTGAGCACCGAGTGGGAGACGATGGCAACCTCACGCACAACAGGCGCGGAGCTTCTTTATGCAGTGGCTTCCAACAAGGACAGTGTCTCGAGCGAGATCGTTGGGGCAACTGCGTCAGAGACGGGCACTCTAAACACCAGTGCGCCAAGTGCCTGGCCGAGGACCACGGTGCTGCTGTCTGCCCATCCTCCGGACCCAAGATGCCGCGAACCTTTAAGGGCAAGGGCAAGGGCGGCGGAGGAAGGAAAGGCGGCAAGGCTAAGAGCAGCTGAGATGCAGGGCCCGATGGGGGCCCAAATCAGGCGGCAATAATGAGTTGCCAGACTGAACCCTCATGTCAGGCAATGACGCCTGCCGCCGCCAACTTTTCATCTGCCGATGATTCTGATGGCACCGTGAAGGTGACGAAGGCTGCGGATATTGCAACGGCCAAAGTTGGCCATGGCAAGAGAATCCTGCACTTGTTCAGCGGGCCGGCTGGCAGAGTGGATGGTCTGCTCAGCTTCGCTAGGGCAGAGGGTGCTGATGGCGAAGATTGGGACATCGAGAATGGCGAGTGCTACGACCTCCTCGACGACATCATCTATGGCGACCTCTTGGCCAGGATCAAGGCGGGCTACTTCGATGCTGGCATGTTGGGCCCGCCGTGCGGCACCTTCTCCAATGCGCGGCGCCTGGACGACCAGGGGCCAAGACCACTTCGTGCGCCGGGCGTTCCAGGTATCTATGGCCTCAAAGACCTGGACGTGGACGAGCTGAAGGCGGTGAAGGAAGGCACACTGCTGGCGCTGAGAGCTGCTGAGGTGTTCGGCGCCTTCGTCGACTTGCGTAGGCCGGTGATCCTGGAGCAGCCGGGCAGGCGAAAGGAGCCGGAGGCAGTGAGCATGTTTGACCTGCCGGAGTTCGAGAAGCTGGCTGAACGAGATGGTGTAGCCTTCACGGAGATCGCGCAGTGTGCGTACGGAGCGCCGACGGCAAAGCCAACCACGCTCCTCCACTACATGGTCACGCTGGACGATGCGAAGGGCACCTGCAACCATGCGGCCAAGTGGTGGAGGCTTCCTTCTTCAGGAGCTTGGCGATTCGGCCCACATCCCCCGCTCAAAGGCAAGGAGTGGTGGATTCCAGCCGAACGTTGGCGAGCTGACATGTTGCTATCTCCGGAGGCTCGGCGGCTTAAGTTCAGAGATAAGCCTTTTCTTACTTGTCAGGCCGCTGCTTACCCGGCCGAATTGAACCGCTACCTGGCTCTCAAGCTTTTGGCGGAAGAGGGCGGCAAGGACGACGCGGTTGACCTGGGCATGAAGCTGGTGGGCCAGTGGCGCAACGTGCTGGTTCGCAAGAGATCTAGGTCGAGATCGCCGGCTCCAGTCGACCAGATCCAGTCGCTTGGGGAGATACAGTGGAAGGACCCGCTGAAGGGCGAGCAGGCCCACTTCACCCTCGAAAACGACACTTTGGGAGGACTTCGGCACCCTCGTCATGCCGTGAGCAAGCTACCTGGACTTCGCACTGGGGCAAGAGAGTCTTTCGAGCAATCTCTGGCTTCTTGCGAACCAACAAGAATGTGGTGAAGGAGTGCATCGACGCCATCGGCAGCGACAAAGCGGACGCCGGCCCCACTCAGGAAACGGTGAAGAAGCTGCGCTCCTTGGTCGAGGCCGACTTGGGCGTGGACGAGCGCGAACCGGAGGCACAGTCGGTGCACCCACTTCACCACCAGCCACCAGCTGCTCAGGCGCTGGGCTTCCCTGGCGGGCGACCCGGATGCGGATGTCATTGGCGACTGGCTTGCTGGAGGCGCGCCGGCGGGCATCTCCATGGACGTTCCGGACCCCGGCGCTATATTTCCAGTGAGTGAGCGCGGGGAGGTGGAAGTGCACCATGGCGGCGTGGAGCTGTCATGGCGCGATCCTGCCTGTCATGAAAATTATACTTCAGTAGACAGTGACCCAGCAGCTGAGCCTGAAGTTCAAAGAATAGTGGATTCCGGGTTCGTCAAGGTCTTTGGCTCCCTTGAGGCCTTGAGGCGTGCAAGGAATATCTAGGTGCAGAACCGGTGACCTCGAAACTTGCGATGATTTCGAAGCTCCGTGCGGATGGAACCAGCAAACGACGTCTGATACTTGATTGTCGTGAATCGCAAGTCAACGATCGAGCTCACCGCGGAGGTCGACTGGTTCTTCCCAGACCTTTGGACGTTGTCAACGACTGTCTCCACATGTGGAAGCACGGGGGGCCGGACTCTTTCCTGGAATTGTTGGTCCTGGACTACACGGACTGGTTCTACATGACGCCGCTGCATCGCTCGGAGCAGCGCTACTTCGTCACCGCTTTCAAGGGCAAGTACATTGTCTTCTTGAGCCAGACGCAGGGCAGTCGTAATGCCCCAGTGGTGTGTGGCCGAGTGGCGGCCTTGCTGGGCAGGCTTACTCAAGGAATGATGCCAGAGAAACAGGTCAGGTGTCACATCTACGTGGACGACCCGATCGGCCTCTTCCTTGGACCGCGCGGCACCCGTGATCTTCACATCTCTGTGGTCATCTGTGCCTGGCTGATCCTTGGCCTCAGGCTCGCCTTCAAGAAGGCGTCGCGTGGGTTAGAGGTCACTTGGGTTGGCTACGCCTTTAAGCTGCTCAACGGCAAGGACCCCAAGGTGACGGTCACGGGCAAAGCCGAGCTCATGAAGGAGGTGGAAGAGCTGAACGCAAAACACCTGGCAGACAACGTGGTGAGTGTCCGAGACCTGCGGTCCTTCACCGGGAAGGCTAACTACGTCGCGGGCATGATTGACGCATGGCGACCCTTCCTGGCGGACCTGTACGCTGTCATCACGGCAGCGGGCAAGGGCACCTCGGCACCATTGAATTGTGTCTGGACTCGTCAGTTTCGGCACACTGCACTTTGGTTTCGGGCCTTCTTCTCGGGTGAGAATCACGCCCTGCGGAGGGAGTTTAGGCTCGCCACCTTCTTGAACAAGGGCCTCCGAGTACGGATCATCTCCGATGCATGTCCTTGGGGGCTGGGTGCGGTGCTGCTCTACAACCGCGCCATCATCGCTTACTTCTCTTCTGCCTTAGACAAGGAAGACGAGGAGATGGCTGGCGTCAAAATTGGCGACCCTTCCGGGCAACAAGTCTGGGAGGCTCTGGCTTTGTTGCAGGCGCTCAAACTTTGGGCGAAACACTGGAAAAGGGAAGGACTGGACCTTATGGTCAGCTCGGACTCCGTCACGGCCTTGTCAGTGATGATCAGTCTTCGCCAGAGGCCAGGGTCAAAAGGACTGGCCACAGTGGTCAAGGAGATGGCCCTGGAATTCAGCCGCTCCTCGTACCGCCCAAGATGGCATCAGCACATCCCGGGCATTGCCAACGATGTGGCAGACAGGCTCAGCAGACGTTTTCAGCCAGGTGTCCAATTTCGACTTCCGTCGGTGCTGAAGCTGGCGAAGGAAGACAAAGTGTCTTCCAGGGTTCCCTCCTTTTATACATGCCTGTCCGCTCCGCAAAGTGGGCCGTAGTTGGGGCAGGAATTTGCCGAAGCCAACGCACACTCATACTCAAGCACCACCTTGCCATGGTGAGGAAAATACGCGGCCACGGTTGCGGTCTTTCTAGGTAACATGGGAGTGACAAGCCATTTCCAAGAGGGATGTGATGCACATATATGATGCACATCCTCAAGTCAGTTTGTTGTACGATGTACCGGCCTCGCCTAGGCAGTTGTGCGAATTGCTGGAACTGCAAGGGAGTGCATGCATTCTTGATTGATCGCTGTTTGTTTGCTTGCTGCTTGGCCTCTGGGAATTTTGTGCACTGACTGTCATGTGTGATTGCTTGGTCTGTGCATGCTTTTGACTCACATTGTTGCAGACTCAGGTGCCTGATTCCATGCCGCTTCCCGAGGCATTATGCCCAAGAAGGGCTTCAGATCCTTTGCTAGGCCTAGAGTTGACCTGGCCGATGTAAGAGCACGTGCATCTGCCGCCTCCTCAGAGGAAGCCTTGGAAGGAGCTCATCAAGTCGCCGCTGCTTCTCTGCCAGTGTTGGGGGAGACTTCTGCTCCCAGCACTCCGGCGCAGTGGGCGAGCAGGGCGGATGCGCCTCACGCAGAGTTCACATCTGGAGCTGAGAGGTGGACTCATGGCACTGTGATCCCTGAAGGCAAGAAGCGCGACGCCTTGCGGGCCCTACTCAGAGATGTACATTCTAACTCCTCTAGGGGGTCTTCGGCTTCGCTTCTCAAAACCTGGGAATCGATTCATAGATCGTGGCACGGCCCTGATGTTCCAGTTTGGCCTCTCACGCCAGAGAAGCTGGCAGTCGCAGCGGTGATGAAATGGAAGAAATATCGTTCGTTCCCCAATTACCTCAGCCGGGCGAAGGAGTACCATGTGGCTCTGGCGGGTGTATGGGGCGAGGATCTCATCCTGGCTGCGAGACAGGCGACTAGATCCGTTCAGCGAGGCATCGGGCCGCCGAGACAGTCTGAACCCTTGCGTTTGGACCTGATCTCCCAGGCGCCTGTGGACGACTTAGAGGAAGTGGAAGCCGTAGTGGAAGGGGGACCTTTGTTTTCCATAAACCTCATCATCATTGCGGTCTACTTCCTCTTGAGGGAACTTGAAGCCAGCCTTACATTAGCCAAGAATGTCTTCCTGGACGTTCGCAGGAAAATCGTCAGCATTCTCCTTCCTGGGTCAAAGACAGACGTGATGGCTTTGACGTGCACTAGGTCCTGGGGCTGCCTGTGCGCGACAGTTGGCATGTGGCGCTGCCCGTTTCATGCGGCGGTCAGGCAGCGGGAGCTGATCGAAAGTATAGCTGACCCAGTTGCATTGGAGCAGGACCTTCCGTTCTATCCGCAGAAAAGCGGGGAGGCTCCTTCGAAGGAGAGTGTGGTGGCTTCTTTCGAGCACTGGCACGCCCTGGTGGGCCTCCCCGTTCTGGACAGCTCCGGAAGACGTCGCATGGGCGGGCACAGTGCCAGGCTCGGAGGCGTGCAGCTGCTGGCACAAGAGGGTCTTCACGTGGTGCAAATTGAGTTGATGGCTAGATGGTCCAGCCCCATGATCCTGCACTACGCGAAGTCGGCACCGCTTACGCGGATCACCGAGGATTACGAGGCCCTTCGGACTCGCCGGGAGCTTCACCAGAGACTGGATGAGCTGGCGAAGGGGCTAGAAGCCCTGAAACGTACTCCCATCGGTGACGATCGACACAACCAGGCGGACGTGGTGCAGCAAGCGGCCATGGAGCTTCCCCCAGCTTGG